TAAAGTGCTTCCTGGAAGAAGCACATAATTGGTGCTTCTTGCATAAAGCACTTAAAGTACTTTTGAAGCCCAACAATAATTTTTCTAAAAGCGCTTTCATTCATTTTAAAAGCACATCCAAATGAGCCTGTAAATTTTAGTTTTGCTCCAATGCGTATAGATCTAAACGAGAAGATGAAAATTTTGATTTTCAAGTGTTCATTTATTTTTGTGTAGATTTTTTTTTTTAATTTTTGTTAACATAATTTTTTCCCGCACAATTCAATAAAAAAATTTCAAAATTTGGACAACGTTGATTTCATCTCATTTAGACGCTGATTTCATAAGAAAAAAGCTGAAGCAAAACTAGAAAAACTTTGAAGAGGAAATGTTTTGTGTGAGAATTGCCAGTAGTATTTTTTTTTCTTCAATGATAGAGAACATTCATTAATCGAAGTCCTACCAAAGGGATTGCAATTTACATAGCCTTAGAAATGATCAACATACAGATAGAAGACATCACTTATGCAACATAAATAGGTTTCAATCTAAAAAGAAAAGTTCCACAAAGCCCATAATGTGGCTAATAGAGAATCTTCTAAAAGCAGTAGTGGATGATCCGCCGTAGCTATCCAGAAACAAAAAGCGACCGACAACCCTTGTGTGAGAAACTGAAAAAAAAACCCCGGAAACAAGAAGCGACCGACAACCCTTGTGTGAGAACTGAAAAAAAAAAAAAAAAAAAAAAAAATTGGTGGATGGATGAACGAAAGGTTATGCCTATGTATAAAGGAAACTGTTTTCTTTTTAAATAGTATTTTGCATCCCACGGAACCTCTCTTTTTCTCTTGTGGAGCCCAATTTTTGTGATGCAAACTCAGATGCAAAAATGGATCTTTACTTGCCTTATCCGGTGAGTTGCAAAATTTGCAACTTATACATCACCAAGACTCGAGCAACTTCCGGCAGCAGTAAACGGAATTGCATGTTTTTGTGCAGGTTTAGTAGAACTGGAGGGGCAGATTTTCGCTCTTATGGTTGATTTTCGACAACTGTAACGGCAGCCACACTTCCTTACGCCTCTGTGACTTCGTCACTAGCCGACCCTACTTAGTGGGAATGCTTTGTTGTTGTTTAATAGTAATATAGTATTGGTATCCTTTGTATGTGTAGACATCGAAATTTCAGTGAAAACAAATGTTCACCAACACATTAAATTTCGACATGCTAGAGCATGATATATTTCACAAATTGTACACATAGATGTGACTCATCAAAACCGAACAAGTCATCAAAAGAGACACGTGGTGACATTTAGCGGAAAATAGTTAAAAAATTATCTTTATTAAATTTTTAATTAATTTAAATTTTAATCAAACAAATGAATTGATTTAAATTAATTGATGGAGTATCACGAATCAAGCCTCAATTAACTCCTAGTTCTTTCGTCAGTGAATCAAGTCCACAATCATGGGCAAATCTAGCCGTAGGCAAGACTTGGAGAGTGTATAAATATGAGGCTCCAGACAAAGAAAGGGTGAGAAATTCATCCAAACACCGAGACGCACAAACTCCTAATTTCCCAATCACTTAGAAGACTCAGTAAACTCTTTGCGTTCTTCATCAAACCCATGAGGAATCATCAAGCACCACTACAAGTGCCGATTGTTCCATCACCACAAGCCAAAACTTTGAGGCGTTTGTTCATTCGAGATTAAGGGCTAGTTTGGTATTGTTGTGCTTTTTAAAAAAAAATTGTTTCTATTGTGCTGTAAGAATAAACAATTGTAAAATAATGTTGTTAAGTGTTTGGTAAACTTTTTGTTGTAAAAGTGATTTTATTAAAAAAAAAAGTAGTGTCTGAGTGTTTGGTAAATTTTTATATAAATTGCTTTGAATATGTAAAATGACTAAAAAAGATATAGTATTTAATGTGATATAATAATTGTCAAAGACAAAATGTAGGGCAAATATTGTAATTTTGTAAAACATGTGGGGGTATACTTGCCATTTGAAAAGTTCATTAAATGAGCATTAATTACTATTCTTTGAAAAAAAAACACTTTTTTTAAAAGCATGGTAAACCCTGCTTCTGCATTTCTATGCTTTTCTACTTTCATTGACAGCATTTTAAAAAAAAACATTTTTTTTTTAATTTTACCAAACACATTTAATGTTCCAGCTTTTTTAATAAGATGCTTTTATTGGAAGCACCACAATCCCAAGTCAACCCTAAGTCATTGCGACCCTCGGATCAACAACACACACATTTTTCACCCCGGAGATCGAATCAGAGAATTCGAAGTTGTAAAGAGATTGTAACCATCCATTTACATTGATACACATTTTATTTTTTACACGTATTTTTGTGTTATTTATCACTATGTTTGGTTTTTTTTTTTTTTGTATAATTAATAAAGTTATAAGGTAGAAAAAGTATGCACACCAAATTTGTATTTTTTTTCTTGAACAAACGATATTATCTACAATAAGAGATGGGGGTGAACTAAGCTGCACAATGAGCCAAGAATAATGTGGTTCAAATTCACTTTTGGTGATTGACACACCCCGATCCAGAGGATCCAGGTGTGCTGGCCGTCACGTGGGTGTGACGTAACCATAGGTGCGACACGGAAGTGAAACAACCACAAAAGTAAGCAGGAATTCAAACCAAACTCAAACATATCAACCTACGAACATAACCGGACGAGTTATAAGGTAAACACATGAGTTCAGAGCATAGGTTAATTGCAGTCAAGTAGGACTAAAATAAAGATACATCACCCTAAGGTGAGTCCTACATGTCGAGAGTCTGTCAGAAAGCCGGAATAAGACCTCGAGAGCCACCAACCGCTAAACTAGAACCTGGAGGGGCGCAAAACAAAATGAGTGGGTCAGTAAAATCAAATAGTTTTCCAAAACAGTTCATTAAAAACAATTTTATCCCCTCGCCGTAAAACCTGTATACTTTCCCAGAAAATAGTATATATACATATATATATATACGCAACATCATAACTCAGCATAAAACCATCATCATAATATCTCAGAAATGATATGCCATGCCCAAACTATAATCAGAATGCATCAATAATAGTCAGGTGAATAATAAATCAACCGGAGACCCTATAATGGTCCTGTACGGCTGATTCTAAAGCTCAACATCCAAACCAACCGGAGTCACCTCGGTGACCTGTACGGTTCAACTCTGCACGTCACTCGGAACTACATATAGTAGTCTGTACGATGACAGGTGTATGAATACGCTCTAGTGCTTCTCACATCAATCATCAGCGCGCATAACTAAGGTCACCCACTAGTTGGAATCACATCTAGTGATCTGTACAACTAGCATGTCGGAACCCTCACTTGGTCTGTACGACATCCACTTACTTGGATCCAAGACGAGCGTGCGTTGTGGTGAATAATAATATAAGCACTATCACCTAGGTGCAGGTTATGAGTTTTCAATGCAATTCAATATAAATAACTTAGCTGGAAAATAAATAAACTCACCTGAGCGTCCATCGCGTCATTTCACATATATATGCATCAATACTCAAGCTAGATATCTAACTTAGCTGGAAAATAAATAAACTCACCTGAGCGTCCATCGCGTCATTTCACATATATATGCATCAATACTCAAGCTAGATATCTCAATAATTTCATGCATGGCAATTAATTTCATAACTTTCATAAAAACGTATTTTCTGGGAAAATAAATGTATATAGGTAAATACGAAATCAAAATTGCCCACTCACTGATAAGTCGACGGGTCGTAACCCCCGTGGCGTCTCCTTCTTCCTTGGCTCGCCGAACTGGTTTTTCTGGCGGCTGTTTTCCGGCGAGTTTTAAAACTCTTCGTTCTCCTTCGTTTTTCACCCATTTTCTTCGTATTTTATATCAAATTGAAGCCCCAAACATGTAGAATCACGATAGACTAGTTTAAGGCTCTAAAAATCAAGAAATCTCACCGGAAAATTCCCAAGAAATTCGGCCAAAATGGAACCACGTGATCCCGACGTCCAAATCCTTCAAACGAAGTACTCCGAGCCTCCTTAGGACTTCACTAAGCTCACCACAAGCTTAGAATTTCCTGAAACACAACATTTTACGTTCGCATGAACAGTGACAAAAAATGGAGGTTCGAGTTTCACGTGATTCCGAAGGTTTCACTTCCTAAAACTAGTACCAATGAACTCAGAACGTCAAAAGGATGAAGATGCATACCTTGGTTGCCTCGATCCATCGAGTTTTTGGAGGATTTGGGTGTGTGCCGTACGTTTTGGGTGAGAGAGAGTGAGAGAGGGTCGTGAGGGACGAGAGAGAGAGAGCCACGGGTTGGGAGAGAGAGAGAGCAGGAGAGTTGTGATGTCCCAAAAACAATCTCCACCATCCATTTTCTAATTCCCTAATCAACTTAACAAATATCAAATCAATAAACCAACTCATCTTATAATTTCTTCCAACACATATCTAATATTAAACCAAATAATGTCACACACCCACGAACCTTAATACCCTTCAAGGGTAATCCCATCATTTCACATTCCCGTCAAAAGTACCTCCGGGACGGGCTGTGACAGTGATAATCGAGTCTAAAACATCTCACGCTAAATTTGTATTAAGCACTTCAAATTCAAATTTTGTGCTTTGGCATTGATGAACCTTAATTTGGCATAAACAACGAACCAAATATAAATTGTTGCTCCCTGCACAACTATTTAGACAGAAAAAACATAAATGAGTCTACATTTCCCAAGTATAAATTAATTCCCCAGCCAAATTCATCTCCCTATTACTCTCTCTGCAACAGTTTTTCTTCTGCTTTATACTTACTGTACATTGCTTCCTTAAATTTGGAACTTAATAAAGAAGATTACTTCATGAAGAAGATTACAACTTACTGTACATTGCTTCTTAATTAAATTTGGAAATTAATGAACCAAAAGTGTACCCAAAAGAAAAAGAATAAAGAATCAAAAGTGTCCTATGTTCCCCATAATATCTTCTACTTTCAAGCACATAATATTCTCTTTTATCTTCTTTCTCTGCTACCATTCAATTCTCTTCTTTAGTACTACTCTTCTTCCAGTTTCTTAGCTTACAATGGCGGGAAAAGACAAAGCTGAAGGTCATGCAATCGGGATCGACCTGGGGACAACCTACTCGTGTGTGGCCGTGTGGCAGTATGATCATGTAGAAATTATAGTGAACGATCAGGGTTACAGGACAACTCCATCTCACGTTGCCTTCACTGATGCCGAAATACTGGTTGGTGATGCTGCATTTAACCAGCTCATCAGAAACCCTTCCAACTCCATCTTTGGTAAGGTTCTTCTCACTTGTACTTTCCAAATTGATAATGAGCTTTTCTCAAATCGATAATTACACATATTGTGTTATTTTAATAAAAGAGGCTGAAAGATTTGCTTAATTTTGTTATGGTGATCTTAATGGGAGGCTTAAGATTGATGCTTAAGAAGTCATAGTCGAACTACAATGATAGTATTAATGTTTGCACCAGTTTTCTGATTCAAATTATTGTTATTCTATACAATTTTTATTTACAATTTTTTTTAATTATTTTAATTTGTTAGATTAATTGTTTTCTAATTGTGGCACCAATTTTTAGATGCAAAGCGGTTAATTGGTAGAAGATTTAGTGACGCATGTGTCCAAGATGATATTAAGTTGTGGCCTTTCAAGGTCATTGAAGGTCCTCATGATAAGCCTACGATTGTGGTCACTCACAAGGGCCAAGAGAAGCAGTTTTCTGCTGAAGAAATCTCATCCATGCTTTTGGGAAAGATGCGAGAGATTGCTGAGGCCTTCCTCGGCTCAACTGTTAAGAATGCGGTCATCACAGTCCCTGCTTACTTCAGTGACTCACAGCGTCAGGCTACAAAAAATGCAGCTATCAGTGCCAGCCTAAAGGTGTCACGTATCATCAATGAACCAACTGCTGCAGCCATTGCTTATGGCCTTGACAAGAAGGCTGGCTGGTACAGCAAGAGAAATGTTATGATGTTTGATTTCGGTGGTGGTACTTTAGATGTGTCACTAGTTACCATTAGTTGCGGCGTGTTTGATGTGAAAGCCACTGCTGGGGATACTCACCTTGGAGGTGAAGACCTAGATAACAGAATGGTGAAGTACTGTGTCGAGCAATTCAAGAGGAAGAATAATTTAGACGTGACTGGAAACTCCAAAGCACTAAGGAGGTTAAAAAATAGTTGTGAGAAAGCAAAGAGGAGACTTTCATTTACGTCTTCAACAGACATTGAAATTGACTGTTTGCATGAAGGTAGTGATTTTTGTACAACTATTACTCGGGCAAAATTTGAAGAACTCAATAGGGATTTCTTTATCAAGTGTATGGAGCCGGTGAATAAGTGTTTGGAGGATGCTAAAATGGACGTAAGCAGCATCCACGATGTTGTTCTTGTTGGTGGCTCTTCGAGAATTCCTAAGGTGCAAGAACTCTTACAAAATGTCTTCAAGGGTAAGGAGCTGTGCAAAGGCATTAATCCGGATGAGGCAGTGGCTTACGGTGCTGCTGTTCAGGCTGCAGTCCTGAATGGGAAGGGAAATGAAAAGCTTCAAGACCTCACTTTGTTGGATGTCACGCCGCTATCACTCGGGGTGGAGACTGGGCGTGAACGGGACATGACTGTTGTGATACCAAGAAACACTAAAATGCCCGTCAAGAGGAATTATACTGTTACCACTCGGCATGACAACCAAGCAGTTGTTAGATTTGCCGTTTATGAAGGCGAGAGTACAACAACAGTGAATAATTACTTTCTGGGTGATTTTAGGCTCAAAGACATTCCTCCAGCTCCGAGGGGTGTTCCTAAATTCAATATTGTCTTTGATATTGATTCCAATGGGATTCTGAACGTATCTGCTGAAGACATGTTGACTGGCCAGAAGAAGGGGATAACTCTCACAAATGACACAACTTGTGAAGGAATTGAAAGAATAATGTAAGAAAGAATCTTATGTCATGCTAAAGACTGAAACATGATTTGTTTTACTTATACGTGCCTACTGTGTAATTTATCTTGATAAAATGGTTCTAATGTTTCAACTATTATGTTAATTTTGAATTCGTGCTTTCACACGTTTACCCTTTATTTATATACCTATAACAATTAGGGTTTTAATCTTCCAAAATAAAAAATTAATAATTAGGGTTTTTGAAACAATGACCTAATCCTTCATCTAACAAACAATGCACAAAACCAGTACAATTATTTACACACTTTAATAGAGATGCATCATATCAGGGATGGAACCAGCTGGATCTAAAAACGGGAGGGCCGAAAGCATGAATCTATGCGTAAAACATACAAATTTCAACAAATATATAAACCTTTGGAAAAGTTGTTGGGGCCATGGCCACTGCAGGCTCAACATCAGTCCACCCTATATCCTATCAATATATATCAGATTTACTTGTATATATACGAGTGTGTGTTGACAAGTGTATTGATTTTATGTATTCAAAGACGACAAAAAATTAACACTTTACCAAAATTTATACAAACCAACATGTTTTGGGACCTAGATGAAGCCAATATGTGATTTATATTCCTATCTCCGCTCGATTTGTCAAGGGACAAGTTAGTCCTTTCCTGCAGTGTGGCATTAGGACCATGCTGAACTTCAATTTGATATTGTAAGGCACCTACATTTTTTTTCCTTTTCAAAACTTCCTTTTATCACTTGCACCTTGATCAAAACTTATTTGCTCTTCATTGCAAGTGGTGGATTGCCCAGTGAATATGGCTCCTTTTCAACTCACTACTTTTTAGATGCAAGCTATCTAATTCCGAAGATATTTTTGATATAGCTTAGAGTAATAGTATCGCTTCTAATAAATAAATAAATAAATTGAAAGAAAGAAAAAAAAAACCTATTTGTTCTTCATTATCTTTTCCCTTTCATTTAGTACCATGAAATTCCGAAGACATATATATCTGGTTTGTGGTGAAATATGTATAACTAATAATTTTGTATATAAAATTCATTCTCTTAGTGTGGGAAGGGAGAATTGAACTTGAATATTGGGTGCATGAGTAAAAGCTCTTAACCATACATATCCCTTGCAAGTATTATTATTTTATTTTTTTAACTCTGTTGAGGCTGCAATCTTATTGAATTTTAGAAAGTGAGACGGCCAGTAGCTTAATTTGATTTGAGTTGTGTAATTAAAGGAGTTGCAATTGATAAGTTTAACCGTAGAAACTTGTTCTTTTTGTTTTATAGGTTTTGCGCTTTGGCATGGATGAACCCTTTGTTGTGCCTTGGCCGTTCGTTAGTGTGGAAACGAGATTCAGATTATAACATCACCAAGTCATACTCAGTTGAACAGAATAAAATACAAGAAATAAAGACACTGAGAAATTTACGAGGTTCGGCAAAAACATGCCTGCGTCCCCGGAGAGATATTGCTCTTCATTATGAATAACAGTACAAGTACACATGAATAACAGTTCAAGTAAACATGCATACCCTAAGAGTTCTTTCACTGGAATACTTTTCACTCCAACTCTCTTGATTTTCTCACAACCCATGTTCAACCTTTCCCATGGGAGAGCCTAATGCTCTCTCCACCTTGGATGCTTTTCTGATGCAAACCTTCTCCCTCGGCAAGCACACATAATGCAAGCATTTCCTTGCATTAAATAAAGGTCAAGCCATCATCACATTTCTTGCATAATGTTCCCAAAGTCAAAAGGCAAACCCACTTTTGCTTTTACTTTACAGAACTTGTCTGTAACTTTTATGCAACACACACCATGTGATATTTCTACCGAAAGCAAACACACGTCACTTCATTATTGCCAGCTCAAAATATGAGCCAATCACAACACCTTTAACAAACAATTAACCAAAACTATCGGTTGTTCTTCTTTGAGTTAGCGGTGAGAATGTCAGGAGAAGAAGAAGAATTCTCCCAATTTTCCAAATATGCCGTAAAAAGTCATCGAAACAGAAGAATTCTCGGAGTACTTAGCTACTGAGATATGCGCTAGCTTTCTATCTGCAAAAGCCCAGATCCACTTTCAATAAAAAAAAGAAGGTAAAGTTAAAAGGCAATAAAGGTAAAGGTATAAAGTAATGCTTGTCGTTTATGTTTTTTTTATTTAGGAAAATTAATAAAAATTGTTTGAAAATTTTGAGTTTTAACGATAAGAATAAAATAAAAAGTAAAATGAATAGTACCAAGATTAACTTTTAATGTAAAAATGTGATTTTTCGTTAAACTGAACTGTACCGAAACTTTTCGTTAAAGTTCCCTTTTTTTTTTTTTGGTAATCGTTATCGTTTGTGCTTTGGTTGCTGCATCATTTGGCATAGAACAGGCAACAGAAAATAAATTTTGGAGACTTATTGCATTCCAACGTTTTTTGCACAAAACTTTAGAAAAGCAAAAGATAAATGATTCTTCGTTCCCAAGTTAGATCTAAGTTATGAAGACACCACTCTGAACTCTTTCTCTTCCCCAATAATTTCTGACTCACTCTCTCTAGTCCCTCCCTATTACTCTCACTGAAATAAATTTTCTTCTCTGCTCTTCTTCTTTATCTTGTTCCCGTGCAGAGAATGGCAGGAAAAGAAGGCCACGCAATCGGGATTGATCTGGGGACAACGTACTCGTGTGTCGCAGTGTGGGAGCACGAACGTGTGGAAATCATAGTGAATGATCAGGGTAACAGGACCACTCCATCTTGTGTTGCCTTCACTGAGACTGAGCGATTTGTTGGTGATTCAGCCATCAACCAAATCATCAGGAACCCCACCAATTCCATTTTTGGTTAGCTCCTCGTTTATCTGCTATTAATTTAACAGTGTTTAATTTCGGAGTTAGTTCATGGAAAATGCTTATATGCCATAGAATTTATTTTTTTAACACAACAAAAAGCTGTAAGTACGAACATTATGAAGTTGAATTATAACTATCTCTGCAGCGTATTTTGTCGTTAAGATGAGTTATTCATTAAATATTCGAATAACTTATCTTACTAACCACATAGAAATTGTTCTTTCTTTGTAGGAATGTGTTTTTTTTTTTTAATTAATCATTTATTTGCAGATGCAAAGAGGTTAATTGGTAGGAGATTCAGTGATGCCACGGTTCAAAGTGATTTGAAGCTCTGGCCATTTAAAGTCACTGAAGGTCCTGGCGGCAAGCCCTTGATTGTGGTTACCCACGAGGGACAAGAGAAACAGTTCGCTGCCGAAGAAATTGTTACAATTTGGTAAGGTTAATTCTATGGAAGAAGAGAAGATGAATAGTTTTGGAATGAAACAGGGAGAAGAATGAGGTTGTTCTTTTCTCTGCAAAGTCACAGAGGAATAAATGATTTCATTAATTGTCTCTCACTATATTGCACACAACGTGCAAAGAGAGATATAATGCCTTTTACAAAACTGAGCTGGATCAGTACAATTTGAAATAGATCTCAGCCACACATTCAGCTAATAGCTAAGATCATCACACATGGCACTCATGGCCTTTTATACCTATATACCCTCTCACTTAGTATTTAACATAAGTGCATACACATATTAACATCACAACTTATTTCTAATCAGATTTTGGACTTATACTTCAACACTCCCCTTTAAGTCCAAAGCTGATATAACTCCTAGCTTGTCCCTGAGATAGTTAAACCTGTCCTTTGGTAATGCCTTGGTGAAAATGTCTGCCACTTGTTCTTTGGTAGGACAGTAAACCAAGTCAATTATCCCTTGCTGCAAGGCATCCTTGATGAAGTGATATCTCCTGTCAATGTGTTTTGTCTTCTGGTGAAACACAGGGTTCTTGGATATTGAGATTGCAGATGTGTTATCACACTGCAGAGGGGTTGCATCAACTTGTAACTCTCCAAAATCTTCCAGAACAAATCTGAGCCATATGGCCTGAGCTGTGGCTTCAGAAGCACTGATATACTCGGCTTCTGCAGTAGAAAGAGCAACACAGTGTTGTTTCACAGAGGCCCATGAGAACACTCCACTTCCAAAAGAAAATGCATAGCCTGAGGTGCTTTTGCTGTCTTCAAGAGATCCTCCCCAGTCACTATCGCAAAAACCAATTAAGACTGCCTTCTTGCCTTTCTCATACTTCAAACCATAGTCCAATGTGCCCCTAACATATCTGAGCACTCTCTTAGCTGTTCCATAGTGTTTATTGGTAGGACAATGCATATATCGAGCTAATAAACTAGCTGCATACATTATATCCGGTCTTGTAGCAGTAAGATACAGTAAACTGCCTACAAGCTTTCTGTATTTCTCTTCATCTGCTGCACCACTGCCATCTTCTTTACTCAACTTTTCAGTAGCCACAAGAGGTATAGAGACAGATTTACATTCTTTCAATCCAAACTTATCCAACAGGGAAGAGGCATACTTCTTTTGATGAATGAAGATGCTAGATTCTGTTTGAATTATCCCCATTCCCAGAAAATGATGAAGAAGGCCCAAGTCTGACATCTCATACTTCTCCTTCATATCTTCTTTGAACTCATCCAACATGTCTTGATTGTTTCCAGTATACACAATATCATCCACATATATGGAGACTATTAGTATATCCTTTTCTCCCCTTGTCTTAGTGTAGAGAGTTGCTTCACTTAAGCTTTTCTCAAACCCACACTTAGTAAAATAACTGTCAATCTCTCCATACCAGGCTCTAGGTGCCTGTTTTAACCCATAAAGAGCCTTATGCAATTTGTAGACCTTGTCCTCCCTGCCATTAACTACAAACCCCTCAGGTTGATCTACATATACTTCTTCCTGCAATTCTCCATTCAGAAAAGCAGATTTAACATCTAGTTGATATAATTTCCAGCTTCTCTGTGCAGCAAGAGCTATCAAGGTTCGGATTGTGTCCAATCTTGCAACCGGGGCAAAAGTCTCATTGTAGTCAATTCCTGGTTTCTGCACATACCCCTTGGCAACTAGTCTTGCCTTGTTCTTTTGGACTGAACCATCTAAGTTCAACTTAGTTTTGAACACCCATTTAACTCCAATCACCTGCTTATCACTTGGTCTGTTAACAAGCTCCCAAGTTCCATTCTTCTCAATCATTTGCAGTTCTTCTTCCATTGCCTTTATCCAAGCCTGATCTTGTGCAGCTTCTTCGAATTTTTCAGGTTCCACAATACAGAGATTGCACTGTGCCATAATATCATTTATGTTTCTCCATTTCACTGGAGTATGATCATAAGACTGAGGGATCTCAACAGATTCTTGAATGCTGCTTTCTTGTTCTTCAGTATGAGAGGAGGTATAGGAACTGGAGGCACTGTCTTGAATCTCACCCAACTCATGTGAATTCTGAATGTGGGTCACAGCAACAGAATTCTCTGAATGTTTCTTCCAATTCCAGGTTATAGTTTCATCAAAAACTACATCTCTTGAAAGAATTAACTTCTTAGTGCATGGATCAAACACTCTGTATCCCTTCTCACATGTAGCATATCCAACAAACACACCTTTGACACTCTTAGCATCTAGCTTCTGTCTTATTTCAGATGGTATATGCACATAGCATACTGATCCAAACACCTTTAAATGGCCAACCCCTGGTTTTCTGCCACTGTAAGCCTCAAATGGTGTTAAATTATTGAGTGCCTTTGTAGGTGATCTGTTCAAAATGTACACAGCTGTGTGTACTGCTTCTGCCCACAGAAAGTATGGCATGCTTTTATCATGAAGCATTGCCTTAGCCATTTCTACAACCGATCTATTCTTCCTCTCCACTACTCCATTTTGTTGTGGAGTGTAGGCCATAGATAACTGTCTTTGAATCCCTGCATCTTCACACAGTTTGTTGAATTCACAAGATGTGAATTCTCCCCCTCTGTCACTCCTCAAACATTTTATCTTAAAGTCACTTTGTAATTCCACCATGGACTTGAATTTTCTAAAACATATCAATGCATCTGACTTGTATTTCAGAAAATAAACCCACATCATTCTTGTACAGTCATCTACAAGAAGCATGAAATATTTGTTGCCCGCAAGTGAATCATTCTGCATAGGACCACACAAATCCACATGCACCAGTTCTAGAGGTTTACTTGCTCTCCATGCTTGATTCTTTGGAAACCACTCTCTATGTTGTTTCCCAAACTGACAACCTTCACAAACTTCATCCATTTCTTCTAAAACTGGGAGACCATGCACCATTTCTTTGTTTTTAAGCTGCTGAAGACCCCTAACATGCAGATGGCCTAGTCTCTTGTGCCATATCCAAGTAGACTTAGAAATACCTGCCCTCAGTACAACCTGATCATTTGGTATCAGTGTCAAGGGGTAACACCTGTTCTTTTTCATTTCAACTTTGAGTACAAGACAATCCAATGAAGGTCCATCAAAAATACTGCACATTTTTCCCCCAAATAACAGATAGTAACCGTGTTCATCCATCTGCCCCACACTTAACAGATTTTCCTTCAACCCAGGTAGATACATTACATCTTTGACATATTTTCTGCCTTTGCTAGTATCTATCATAAGTGTTCCAAAACCTGCCACATTCATGAGTTCCCCTGTGGGCATTTGAACCTTGCCAACCACATTTGTCTTCATGTCTATTAACAAATTAGAATCCCCTGTCATATGGTTGCTACAACCACTGTCTACATACCATTCTCCATTCACTTTTGATTCAGTGATTGTGCTATTTGCATAAAACAGGTTCCCTGTCACCTCTACCTGATTAGCATTATTTGCCTTTTGCACTAATTTACCTACTGTGTACTCTCTAGCCCAGTGACCAAACTTTTCACAGTTATAGCATTTAGGTTTCCCTTTATACCTACACTCTCCAAAGTGAAACTTAGAACATACCCTGCACTGTGGTTTTGTACCTATCTGCCCCATTGACTGTGCATTATGTGCAGGACTAGCAGGAAATTTCTGCTGAAACTTAGGTTTTGAACCCCATTTCTTGCCCTTATTATTCCATTTTTTCTGGAACTGAGATGAACCAGATTGACCTTCACCCCTATTCTGCTCTTTTGAATTCACTGAGAAAGATGAGAATGCTTTCCCAGTAGTATCAACAGTATGCAGATCAAACCGTTGTTCTTGACTCTTCAAGATTGCAACTACTTCCTGCAATTCTACAGTCTCTAGACACTTTGTGTTTTCTATAACCAAACAGATAGAATCATAAGGTTTACTAAGACTAATCAGAACCTTCTGCACAAGTCTCTCATTCGACAGAGATTCACCAAATGTTCTCATTTGATTAATTAGCTCATTCAGCCGTGTAAGATAGCTAGATAAAGACTCATCATCTCTCATCCTAGCATATTCAAACTCTCTCCTAAGATTCTGCAATTTCACAGATCGTACCTGATCACCACCATGATACTCCCCGTATAACAAATCCCATGCCATCTTAGCTGATTCGGCATTGGCGATTCGTGGGAAGATCTGATCCGAGACTGCATTTTGAATGATTCCTAGAGCCTTCGCATCCTTCATGAACACAGCAGCCATTTCTTCATCGACTGCATCGTCCGATGACCCTTCAACTTCCTTCTTCTTCTTCGAGTCAGGGGTTGTAATCCCTTTGTCCACCAGCTTCCATAACCCAAGCGATTTGAATATCGTTACCATCTTAATCCGCCAGAACTCGTAGTTCTCACCAGAGAAGATTGGGGTTCTCACCTCCGAGCTTCCAGATCCAGACATCTTGATCCGTCTGTTGCTTTCTCGCCTCAAATGAAAACTCCGGCGACTTTCACCGAGCTTTGACTTAGCTTAGTGACTTCACAGCTTCACGCCCAGATTCAATTGATCGAAAATCGGCTCTGAGGCCATGTTACAATTTGGTAAGGTTAATTCTATGGAAGAAGAGAAGATGAATAGTTTTGGAATGAAACAGGGAGAGAAGAATGAGGTTGTTCTTTTCTCTGCAAAGTCACAGAGGAATAAATGATTTCATTAATTGTCTCTCACTATATTGCACACAACGTGCAAAGAGAGATATAATGCCTTTTACAAAACGGAGCTGGATCAGTACAATTTGAAATAGATCTCAGCCACACATTCAGCTAATAGCTAAGATCATCACACATGGCACTCATGGCCTTTTATACCTATATACCCTCTCACTTAGTATTTAACATAAGTGCATACACATATTAACATCACAACTTATTTCTAATCAGATTTTGGACTTATACTTCAACAGAAATTTCAGCCATGGTTCTATCGAAAATGCGGGAGATTGCTGAGGCCTACCTCAACTCCACTGTGAAGAATGCAGTTATCACTGTCCCTGCTTACTTCAATGATTCACAGCGTCAGGCTACAAAAAATGCTGGCAACGCTGCTGGTCTAAATGTGATGAGCATCATCAACGAACCAACAGCTGCAGCAATTGCTTATGGCATTGACAGGAAGGCTGGTTGGTATAGCAAGAGAAATGTGATGATATTTGATTTAGGTGGTGGTACTTTAGATGTTTCACTACTTACCATAGGTGATGGTGTGTTTGAAGTGAAGGCCACGGCTGGAGACACTCACCTTGGAGGAGAAGACTTCGATAACAAAATGGTGGACTTTTGTGTTGAGCAATTCAAGAAGAAACATAATTTGGACGTGAGTGGAAACTCTAAAGCACTAAGGAGGTTAAGAGACGCATGTGAGAAAGCAAAGAGGAGGCTTTCGTTTACTTCAGCCACTGACATTGAAATCGACTGTTTGTATGAGGGAACTGATTTCTATACAACTATTACCCGTGCCAAATTTGAGCAATTGAATATGGATTTCTTTAACAAGTGTATGGAGCCAGTCGAGAAGTGTTTGAAGGATGCCAATATGGAAGTAAGCAGTGTCCATGATGTTGTTCTTGCCGGTGGATCTTCTAGAATTCCCAAAGTGCAGGAACTGTTGCAGGATGTGTTCAAGGGGAAGCAGTTGTGCAAGAGTATCAATCCGGATGAGGCAATTGCGTATGGTGCCGCTGTTCAAGCTGCAGTCTTGAGTGGGAATGGAAATGGGAAGCTTCAGGACTTCACTGAGGATGTCACCCCTTTATCACTTGGATTTGAGTGTCTTGAACGTGGTAGTTCCAAGTTATTCATGAACATTGTGATTCCAAGAAATTCTAGAATTCCAGTCATGAAGAAAACTAGTGTAACTACCGTTTATGACAATCAAGATTTGGTGGACTTTGCTGTTTATGAGGGTGAAAGCTGCATAGCTAAAAACAATAACTTTTTGGCTAAATTTACCCTCGATGGTATTCCTCCAGCACCGAAAAATGTTCCTTCATTTGAAGTTTGTTTCAATATTGATGCCAATGGTATCCTGAATGTCTCTGCCGAAGACAAGTCCACCGGCCAAAAGAAAGGGATTACAATCAAGAGTGACAGTGACATTCGAAATTTTGAAGGAATTGAGAAAGTGAACTGAAGACGTTATGATGAATTTTGGTAGGCTGGATCAGATTGGAACATTAGTATTGGTATTAACGATCAATTAGTTGAATGAGGCGTTGTTAGAGTTTTCATTTGCATTCCGATGTTAAATCCTTATTATGATGAATTTTGATGAAGTTTTAATAGACTTTCATAAATTCTATATGTATGATTTGTGTAAATTTCTTCAAAATCTCATAGGGATGAATTCGAAGAGGTATGATTTGTCAAATCTTGATTGAATATACCCTATTAAACTTTGTAGGCTCCATTAAAATTTTGATTGAATACATCCGAATTTTACTTTTATAAAAATTTATAAATCCTAATTAAATATAGAATAAATTAGGTTTCATTTCCAACCACTGGGCTAAAATAAACTCTGGAAGAAAAATATATTTCTAGGCTAGATTCTTTTCAACTGGGCTAAAAAACAATTATTTGACAACTAATTTAATCATATTATTATCCAAGGGCGAAAGACCTTTTTATAACTGACATTACACGCTTCTTAAAATGTTTGAACGTGTTTAAAAATAGAGAAAATAGTATTTAATGAACAATTGATTGAATCACATTATTACTAGCCTATTGTGAGGTACTAATTATTAAAAAATACTATTAAAAATGACGAAAATACCTCTGCCATATTTGATGCATTATTTTGGTTTGCTTTTGAAGCTTTTTGTTTGAGGGGCATTTTTGTCCAATTTCTTTTGGTGAAGCTTGTCACACCGAAAAACATTGTTCATTGAATGCTTGGCTTTATATATGAAGATTATACTCTTTGGACCCAGATCCTCTCCGGATCAGTCCTGTGGGGATCCTCCTGACGAATTGATCTCATCGGTTGGGTCGGATTAGTTGCATGTCTCTCCTTCCCTTTCCGCAGCTCTCCCTTCCGCTTCCTCTCTTCCCCCTCAACTCCTCTCTGCCTCACTTCGATGCACCCACCACCACCCCCTGCATCTTTTCGGTCTTCTTCAGCCCAACCCAACCCACCCCAATTAAATTCCTTGTTTACTTTTTTAATTCTTATTTTTTAGTCTTGCCGTTTGTTCTTTGATATTTTCTTAGCTCCTTCAAATTGGGACTTTATTCAACAGGAAGAGGAATTTGCAGCTGGGGACGCTGGGGTGGGAGAGAGCTGGAAAGGGTTGCTGGGTTGTGTAAGATGTGGGATTACAGTGGCGGCGGGTGATTCGAAGTGAGGAAGAAAGAGGAGTTGAGGTGAAAAGAGGACGGGGAAGAGAGAGCTCCGAAATGAGAGATTTTTCAGTGTCACTGTCATACGAGATGGTACACCACGTGTCCCTATATAAATGATTGGTTATGTGTGTTAAAAGGTTAATAACTTAAAAATTAAAATTTTTCACCACTTGCATAAAACCACATGGTGTACCATAGTGTTACCGTCACAACTAAAAATTTCTCCTCTGAAAGGGGGAGAAAGACTTGCAACTAAGTTGAACCATTGGATTTGTACGAACGGATGAGATCAATTCGTCAGGAGGATCCCCACAGGATTGATCCGAAGATGATATGAGTCCATACCCCTTAGACCATCTCCAATCCTGACTTAAAACCTAAAAATATTTAGCCCAGAAGATTTAGGTTTTAGCCCAAAAACAGTTTTTCTACTTCAACCTTTTTGGCCTAAAATTTTAGCCCCAGATTATCAAAAAATGAATTAAGGCTATTTTTTTAAATTAAATTTAAAAAAAAAACAAATTATGTAGACTATCCTAAATTAATTTTATGAACATTTTAACCTAAAAATATTTAAATTCCGATAAATTTTGAAAAATCATTAAATCAATACATGAAAATCATGATAAAGCACATAAACTTAAAAAAAAAGTATTCTAGCCGTTGGAAAAAAATATTTAAATTCCGATAAATTTTAAGATTATTCTAGCCATTGGATTTAAATTTGGACCGTTAGATTTTTTTTTTTACCATTAGATTTAATTATATTCAATTTAAGCCGTTGGATTCAATAAATATATAAATATAAAACAAAAAAAAATTGAATGTGGACCGTTGGATTAACCAACGGTCCAATTACCACCACCACCAATGAAGAAAAGTAGCCGTTGGCTACAGGACAAGACCCACTTTTCACTCTCATCCGTGAGTCCCATCAGCTTTTGTGGGCTAAATTTGTGACCTATATTTACCTTCATTTTAAGTTTTAGGTTTTAGGTTTGGTTTAGGTTTTGGGTTGGAGTGGATTTGGGGGGGGGGGAAGGGGAAAATTTAGGTTATAAGCCACTATTGGAGATGGTCTTAATGGCAGCTGGTATACTTAAAAATCCCTAACAATAAAAATAAAGGAAAAATAATAAACAAAAACTTTAAAACTTTGAGTTTTAATTAAGGGAATTGATTAGCACTTCAAAAATCTTATTTTGCACTCTTCAAAAGTGTATTTTTCTTTCTAATTATAGAAAGTTTGGAGTGCCAAATGAGATTTTTGAAATGCTAATGACAATTTCCTTAATCAAAAGTAATTTAATAATTTTATTTAATGATAAAGACAAAAGAAATAAAAGGAAAACAAAACCCCAATCAAAAGTGCGTGCAAGGCGCATGTCATTAGATGATTTTTTTTGTTAATAAAAAGTTCGGAAAAACCTTTTTCATTAAAGATTCCTAAAACTAGAGCATAAAACCTACAATTTAACTCTCTAACGGGTGATTAAGGCAATCAAAATTCAATCCTATTTTACATTCATAACAGACTGCCTACATTCCAATGGGTTGTTCTTCGTTGAGTTTTCATGCTGAGAATGTTGAGAATGTCAAGAGAAGAAGAAGAAGAAGAAGAATTCTCCCATTTTTTCCAAAGCTGCCTTAAAAATTCATGAAAGCAGAAGAATTACTGTTGCGAGTTGAATATGTGTGGATAGTTTATCCCACTTCAATGAGGGACAAGGCTAAATAAGGGTTTATATGATGTCAAGCTATTTCTCATAGTGCCTATTGGTTGTAGTTATGATAGAATCTTAATTTTATTATGGTATTAGAGTATGTTTCTCTTGCGTGAAAGTCCAAAGGGCTACACATGCTCACGTGCTCATGTGTCAGTTTGTCCCACAACGGTGAAGGACAAGGTCAGCTAAGGACTTACATGGTTTTGGATCACTCTCTATATTGCCAACTAGTTTTATGGTAGAGCTATTGAGATCTCTGCAACTAATTTGCAGTTTTGTATTCTGTTCATATTTTATTTTTTTTTTGTCCAAATTTTATGTTCATAGTTCAGTACACAGATAAACATTGAACTTAATTTGTATACTAGTTATCATTTGTCGCTGTTTTGTAGAATTAAATATAAAGTTGTAAGGTTCTATCAAAATGTTGACATCATTCGTATTTGGGATTAGGCTGGAAATCTTTTTACGAAAATCCGAAACCAAACTAAAAAATCACGATTCCATACTAAAAAATTTCTAAGCCAATAATACGGAAATTTTCTGGATCCATACTGAACCAATCCCAAACTTTTTGGTACGGGAATCGAGATTACATATTCAATGGTTCAGGAATGTCGAATCGAACCATATATATATATATATATTTTTTTTTTTTTTGGTTGCATGCATATTGAAGGTTGAGTTTAAGTAGTTTGATAGTAGATTATATTAGAAATAGAAGTATGAAATTAAGTTGTTTGGAACTTTGGAATGTCAATTTAACTTGATATGAAATTTCAAATTGGTATAAGATAAAAAACCTAAATTTCAATTGATATGAAATTGGGCAACAAAATTTAAGGCTAAAACCCAAATTTTAGCCGACATCTCCAAAATCTCAAATTTTGGCCCAAAAGTCAAAAATCCAAAATTCAGTCCCAATCTATCTCGAAATATTTTCAATATTTCGGAAATTCCAAAAATTAAGAATACCAAAATTTTAATTTGGGATTGATTTTCAAATTACGTCAAAAAAAAATTCAGTTTGAGATTCAGGATCCTATTTTTTATTCGGGATTCCATACCAAAATACCCCAATATGCAAAAAAAAAAAAAAAAAAAAAAAAAGAGGAAAGTCAAAAGGTAGTAAAGAAGGTAAAGTTATGATAGACGAAGCTCTGAACTCTCTCTTCCCCACTAAACTAGCCAGACTCACTCTTCCCAGTCCCTCACCATTACTCTCACTGAAATCAACTTTCTTCTCTTCTCTTCTTCTTTATCGTGTTCCCGTGCAGAGAATGGCAGGAGAAGAAGGCCACGCAATCGGGATTGATCTGGGGACAACGTACTCTTGTGTCGCAGTGTGGGAGCACGACCGTGTGGAAATCATAGTGAACGATCAGGGTAACAGGACCACTCCATCTTGTGTTGCCTTCACTGAGACTGAGCGATTGGTTGGTGATTCGGCCATCAATCAAATCATCAGGAACCCCACCAACTCCATTTTTGGTTAGATCCTCGTTTATCTGCTACTAATTTAACAGCATTTTGATGGAAAATGGTTATATGCTTATTTTCTTAATGAAAATAGCTTAAACTTTGAGTTTTAATCAAAAGAACAGAAAAGTGTTGTAAGAGAATAATATTAGAGTGACTATTTAGAGTAAAAATGTCTTAAAAGTTCATAAAATATATTTTTGAACAAAAAAAGCTACAAGTATAAACAGTATGAAGTTGGATTAAAACTATCGTTGCAGGATAACACTTTTGATTAAACCAAATAAGTCATTGGGTTGTTTTTTATATTTGATCTATTGATTCTTAGCTGTTTTTCTTTCTAGGAGTGGTTTTTAATTTAGTCATTTATTTGCAGATGCGAAGAGGTTAATTGGTAGGAGATTCAATGACGCCACTGTTCAAAGTGATTTGAAGCTCTGGCCATTTAGAGTCACTGAGGGTCCTGGCGGCAAGCCCTTGATTGTGGTCACCCACGAGGGACAAGAAAAACAGTTTGCTGCCGAAGAAATTTCAGCCATGGTTCTAGTGAAAATGCGGGAGATTGCTGAGGCCTAGCTCAACTCCACTGTGAAGAATGCAGTTATCACTGTCCCTGCTTACTTCAATGATTCACAGCGTCAGGCTACAAAAAATGCTGGCAACACTGCTGGTCTAAATGTGATGCGCATCATCAACGAACCAACTGCTGCAGCAATTGCTTATGGCTTGACAGGAAGGCTGGTTGGTATAGCAAGAGAAATGTGATGATATTTGATTTAGGTGGTGGTACTTTAGATGTTT